TGGCAACTCAAGTCACAACTACACTCCATTGAGTTTCCAAAGCTGGAAATCTCATGGGAGGAGATTGCCCATCTCTCTCTCATGGAAGAGAAGTAGCTTTAGGTTATCAGAACAACTTCCTAGGGACTACACCGCCAGAGGTCCCTTTTAGTAAGGAACAGAATAAGGTTGAGTCAGAAGATCCATTAAACAAAATTTTGCTTCTAGATGTGACTGGCATTTCTTTCCTTCCTATGGGATCAAAGCATCTTTTCATTGAGTAATTTGCCCCGGTCTGAATACTCTAAACAAAATAAAAAGGCAAAAAGGCTATGTTGTTGTTGTTATGTGCCACCGAGCCGCTTGCAATTCATAACCACCCAAATGTACAAGAGCTCTAAATGTCGTTCTATCCTGTGCCAGCCTAGCCATAGGTAGGAAAAAACTCCATCAATTTAAGTTGTTAAAATGTGGCAAGGCTTAAGTTAATATAGATGTTGATTTTTGAATATTCAGAATTACAAGTCTTGCTTTTTTGTCCAAGAGGTGGACAGCCTTAGGTCAGAGTGAAGTTAACCAGCAGAGCTGGTTCTGACTGAGGTCTTCAAACTGCACTCTGCCTTTCTGGTTCCGACTGAGGTCTTCTTCACATGACACTCTGCCTTTCTCTTTTCTTCATGAAGACTCAGAGCAAATAGCAAAAGCAAATAGAACATTTTGCACAGTATGGAGGAGGAATCTTAAAGTCCCTTTCAACTCCAAGAATTTACAACCTATTGTAATTCCCTTTCTTCCTGCTAACAGGGACCAAGATTCCTAGGAAGCCATTTTACCTGGAGGCAACTACATTTCAGACAGGAATAAATGAGCGGGAGTTCCCAACACACACACACACATCCATTCCCACCCCACCTTACTTTGACCCCCCTACCCCTCCCTGATGGGTGAAGAACTGCTTTCCCAGGGAGCGGCTCTGAATATTCCCTTTCTCTTGGTATCTCAGTCCATGTGACCACGTGATCTGAAAGTCCTGGCACTACCCTCAGGCAGAGGTGCCAGCTGGTGTTAAAAATGTTTGATCTAATGACTGGAGACTACTGGCTTCCTGCTGCAGGAGGCCAGAATTTAACCTAAAGTTACCCTTAGTCAGGGCAGGGCAGGTTACTAGGGTATGAGTCAACTGTCAGAGCTCCTACTGCTTTTTCACTCTTAAAGGCACAGGACATGGACTGGGACTTAACCAGGTGGAACAGGGGATTTCTAATCTCAGCCAAAAAAACAACAACACCAAGACACAGTGTAATCAGATTCACTCCACTTTTATTATGAACAAACACAATCTCAGATCAGTACAACTAGCTTCAGAATTGATATTAATAGAAATTATTCCAAAATTATTCTTAGGGCACAAATAACTACTATCCCACTTTAAAAGGGAAAAAAATCCCATCCAGTCAAGGAAAAGATATCTTGCGTATGTTTCCATGGCAATGAGTGTATGCACTCTCAAACTCTGTCTAGCGAGTCACCCACCACTTATCCAATGGGCTCACTCAATCTCTTGGGAAGAACCATAGAGATCAATGAGACCAATCAGGACAAGGACATATTAAGTTCCTGGTGGATACAGTTGCTATAAAAATACTCAGGACTTAGGAGAATTCCTCTGCTAAAAGATCCCCAAATGCTTATAGAAAGCATTAGTCACTCCTCAAAACTGCCCTTTGAGGTAGGTCAGTATTGTTATCCCCATTTTAACAGAAGGAAAACTGAGGCACATTGTAGTTAAGTGACTTGCCCAGGGTCACACAGCAAGTCAGTGGCACAGTGGTAGGAGTGGGCCTGGCTTTAACCCGCATAGCACTGCCACACTGCTTTCTTCAACCTCCCATACCGACCCATTCGAGTTACACTTACAGGGAATACACTCAAGATACTAACACACCAAGGAGAAAAGGGTTCCATTTTAAATGCTACAACCATCTCTGAATCTAAGAAAATGATAAATCAAATACATTCAAATTCCTTCCACCCGCCATCATCTGTGGGCACTTCATAGAGCAGCCCTAAGTTTCCAGAATGAAGCCCGGAAGGGAACCCTTGGACAGCTGTACTGAAAATCCTCCAGACTGGCCTCCTTTCCCGCCAGCCACTTCTATAGGCTCTCAGGTGCAAAGGACCTCCACAGAGGGAGCAAGGGGGAGGAGCAGAGGGCAGGTTCATAAGCAACACTGATTAGAAAAGATGTAAGGCACCCAAATAAGTTCTCAACATACCCACAACACAAGGACTGTTAGGAATTCAGACTCTTGATTAGATTTGTGTTTCTGGAGCATGACTGTGTCACTTGACTTGAGCTTTCAGAATCTTGAAAAACGCATTCCTTTCCTAGTAGACACTTCCTCACTGACACACACCTATCATACCTGGGGTGAGAGGTGTAGGATAGAGGGGACCAGCGGCTATCAGCCTGGGGAAGTTGGCTCAGCCTTGTGGTAGGGTCATGGGATGGATCAGATCCATGGAACACAATTACAAGTCAAAGTTGTTTTTATTGTTTTTGTTATGAAGCCGGCACCTAATGACCCAGGGAGTTAAAACCACCAACAGAGATCTGCAAGGAGTGGATCTACATAGGTAGGCAGATCTAAACTACAATGATTCTCTGATCAATCCTACTGAGATTATCAGTTTTAAGAGAAGGTCGCTCATAGTACAGATTAACCCCTGTAGCCTCTATTTATTCAATTCATACAAGAAAAAAGGCTGTCTTCCTTTCTGCCACTGAAGCTCAACAGTGAGCACAGTATTTGGTGTTGTATAAGTCTAGTTTTTAGATTAAAAAAGCCAAGATTCTCTATTAACTACTGAGGTACAGGGATGGGAGTGTTCCAAGGTTCTAAAAGCACTGCTATTTTGTTTAATTCAGACTTCTAGGCTATTATCTGTCCTAGGCTGTGTTGTGAGGACTGTTGGTTTGCTTAACAAGAGTCTGTTCAGCAAGTTTCATATCTCAGATCCCCAGAGCCAGTGGAAGCTCGGAAGTAAACCTTGGTCCCATGGAACGGGCCTCCCTCCATTCAAAGAGAGGCACTTTGGAACGTGTCTTGGCTTTTTACATAACCCAGCAAGGAATAGGCTCCTTTCTACATCTACAAGCATTGCACTGTCAGCTGGGGCACAAGCTCAGACTGGGCAGGTTAACTGAGTGAGCAGGGCGCGACCAGCATGCTCTCCGGTTCTGAATCAGACACAGGAGACAGAAAGCAAACCCTCTTAACCAGTAGCTGTCCCACTGGTACAACAATTTGGTTTGGCTTGCCTCCTGAGAGAGCGAGCGCCTCTCTGATCCAGGGGATACTCCTAGTAGGGTTTGCTAGCCTTGGTGGTATGGCAGTAACACGAGTGTTAAGGTGGAGACATTGGAAGCCAAATGAAAGTAGCAGCTAGCTACTTGATAAAGAGAAACAGTGGTTCAGTGGCCCTGAGCATTTCTGTCTTCAGGAGGGGGAGCTGCCTGGACAGTAAGAGCTAGCAACACAAAGGACGCTGCCAGCGCAGAGAAAGAAGCCCGTATCAGGCAAGAGGAAACCAACAGGAGAAATGGGACACAAAGGAGAAAGCTAGGAACTAAGAATCCTGCTTCTCCTCCCTCCCCCTGCCAGTTCTATACTCCAGGCTAGAAGTTAACAGAGCAAGGAATGAGCAAAAGGGAGTGACGCTGTGGAGAAGGAAGTTTCCACCCATTCCACATCGAAATCAAATCAAAGAATCTAACCTGTGCATAGAACTATTTCTTCAAATCAGGACATCCAGTAATATACTCAGTAACTCTGAATCCCTGGAGATGTGTTCTCAGAGGCTTTCCTTCGCCAAGTCATCTTAGGAATGGCCTATAGACGCTGCTCCTCAAACCCTCCGTCTCCTCATCTCCTGTCCACCAGGGAGGGGGAAGCAGACAACTCCTTCAAAGTTTCATCAAGCATTCCACTTCTCAGGATTTCTCTAAGTGAGTTATTTTATTAGTGTTCCAAGTAAAGTGTGTTTGTGTGTGTGTGTGCATGTTCCAGCTCTCCCTGGGATGTCTGGAAATGTTGCAGCCATCTTGAATCGATAAGGAGAGCAGCTCAATATTCTGAAGATAGCAAAGCAGAAAGATGAAAAAACTTTGAAGTCTCCATGAGAAGCTAGGTTCATCAATTCTGGATACGCCAACCATAAAGCTTCTTGTTATATGGAATCAGAAATCTCCACTATGTAATGAAAAATAGAAAAATCCGTCCCCAATAGAGAGATGAAAAGCTTCTTTTCCCCCAGCCTAAACCATATTAACTTGTAATCTGTTCTTGTGTTCTAGCATTGCCAAGCTCCATGGCCATTCAGTCAGGAGAGAAAGGATGTATGCTGTATGGTGGGACTTGAAGTCTTCACTTAATAAACAGTTTAGATCTGCTTCTCACCTTACCCTCACCTTTATCTATTGATAATTTTCATGCAGGCTGCCTCTCTCCCCTGACACTTGACAATCTGCATGCTTAGGGAAGCTCTGTGCCAAATATTTTTTCTAGTCTAACTAGCAAAAGCCTAGGCTGAAGATTATCAACAGAGGCCTTCCCAGAAGACGTTGCTGTTTCTAGCTTGAACCAGGGCAGCTCAAGAAAAAGAGAACAATCTGGGACAAAATGTTATGATCTAGAAAAGTTGTCTAGGCTTTGGAAATTGGACACCCACAAAAGACGGACCAGCTGCTGGCCTGGAAAGCAATGAGTAGGGCAAGAAGGGGAAATGACAGAAACAAAACAATGGAACTAGAAGAGAGAAGAAATAAGAATATTAGCTTAGTATCATAAAGGCAGAGCTGTTGGCTTTCAATACTTTTGCATTTTTAAAAGAATACTGTACTGGAATGGGTTAACATCATCATCTTTAGCATCCGGTTAGCATTATTCAGTAGTTAATAAACAGAACATTAAACCTCTGCCCCACTGGCTGTTGGAAAAGAAACCTGAAGGACTCATGATTCAACCAGTCTTGTAGTTTCCATCTCCAGTTCTCTTAGCCCTGGCCGTAACGACAGACTTGGACACTTTCTTCCGGTCATAAGCCAGACCCAGGGCAGCCATACAATCGATGAAGAAGGTGGTGAAGTTGATGTGCCAACGGTACTCACTGGCGGAATAGTCATAGGGAAAGGTGTGGTGGTAGTTGTGGAAGCCCTCACCTGAAACAAAAACAAAAGAGAAGTTATGAAGCTCTGTTGAGGACAGCCGTCTGTTGGGTCTCTGAAGGTCTGTTACCTAACCAAAGCTTTCTGCTGTCAATTGAATGAATCCAATCCTTTATAGAAATAGATTTTCTTGTACATATCAAGAGACATGTTTGGGGAGACCTGGAGTTTGGAAGCTTTTACAGGAGGAGGACTGGCAGTTTCTCTCAAGAGATTGTGAAATGCTGCCATCTAGAAGGTGCTACTGTAGCAAATGGATTTTGGATAGGAAAATTCCAGCGCTACACTAAGTATTGGTTTGTGACTCTGAATGCTCTGTATGTGCAAGCATGAGGCACATGAGAGTGAAGAGGGGTCCAAAATGAAGAATTTTTGCTGTGTTTCTCACAAAGGTTAGCAAAGGAGCACAGCCTTCCCCTACTGTCCTCGTATTACCTCCAAGGGACAAAAGGACAACACAACAGTTGGCAACATAGCTTAGTTGGAAGAAAGTAGGCTCAGCCAGGGGCCCTAAATTCCTCGGCCATTGCTGGTTCAGAGCACGCTTCTCTGGTTTCTAGTTCTGAACTCTGGCTGATGAATGAGTGTGGGAAGTCAACACAGTTCTATCTTCCCTTCTAACCAAAGGGATTCTGCAAACATTCAGCTTGAGCGGCTCACATTGTTGATGGAGAAAAACAAAGACCCTGTAGATTCAGGATCATTTCTGTTGTGGGCAAGCTTTGGAAACTCTACAGAGAGTTTTCTCTAACCCTGAAAAAAAATCTTCTTCCTGAACCTTATTAAAATATACTGACCTTTATCACAGGCTAAGGGTAAAAGCATAGTTAATAAAAGAGCTTGTTGGGTTCTTTGAAAATGAAAGTATCTCAGGTAGAGTAGTAATGATATCAATAACAAGCAAGTGCAGGAAATCCGGCAAAGTAAACCATCTAGAACATCACAGGGTATATATATTTCCCTCTGCTAATGACAGAAGGACCCCTGCCATGCAGTGATAAAATGCTCTTGTTTTTTGAACCCACTATCTGCTCCAGAAGAGAAAAACATGGCAGACAATCTTTACAGAGTTGGAAAAACTATGTGATAATTCCACACTGTCCTACAGGGTCTCAATGAATTGGAATTAACATGATGGCAGGAGGTTTGATTTTAGTGATATCTGATTATTTCGTTTGAACTGAAGCAGGAGGGCATGATAACCCTAAGAATAAAGGGCACCGGGAGAAGATTACTAATTTCCATGAATGATTTTCAAGCCAGGTTCTATATAAGCACTACACAAGCCTTATCAGATTCCAAACTGAATCAGAGGTACACTTAGGTAAGATGGGGGTTGGAGGGGGAAGAGAGAAGGAGAATCAGAAGATGTTAGAAGAACAAGGCTTTGCAACTGGGTCGGCGAGAGACAGCCCAAGACTCAAGGGAGGTCAGTTTTGGCAGAAAGAAGAGCATGTGACTGTGGGGAAGGTAATTCAAGAAGCATAAAAGCTGAGTAAGTCAGGAAACAGAGCTGGTGAGGAAACAAAAGGTGAGGTGATAAGGGAGGAGAGCAGTTACCAGGCCAGCCAGTATGGAGACTTGGATAACTGAGACAGAGTAAGGTATCGGCAGCCATTCACAACCAGTGGTTAATAAAGGGGATGGCGTTGGGGAAACTCATTAGAGGCCCATTTGTAACATGGGCACATTTTTATTGCTGTATATCCCATTTCTATGAAAATCATGGAGACTTGTATAGCCTAGGTGATTGGTTACAATCATGATATGAGCTAGGAAAAATATCTTTAGTTGAGGTAGTAGAGAACCATCTGGGTTGAGAATATAAAGAAAGATTTTTAAGACCGAAATAAAGGAATATGCTATGAGATGGTATGTATGTATGTATGTATGTATGTATGTATGTATATATATATATATATATATATATAAAATAAGTACTGACCACTGGTGAAAAAGGAGAGTCAATGGTCTGCTTCTGGAAAATTGTTTATTGTTTAGAGGCCTTTGTCAAGGTGGAGAGAAGAAGAAAACGGATGCAGATGTTAAAGCCCTACTGTCTTAGGCTCAGGTAATCGGGACCAAAATGAAAAAGAGAAAAAAATTCATAAGTTGGATCAGGGAGCAGGCACTTGTAGTCAAACTACTTTTAAAGGGCTATTTGTAAGCTATGTTGGAGGAGGAGGTGTCCCTCCTAAAATGAAAGCTGAAGGGAGAGAAAAAGGACAATACAAGATTGGGAGGTGGTAGTAAAGGCTCTCAATAGTTCCCTTAATGCCCTTGACACTGGCACAAATGAGTAATAAGGATTTGACTTGTCTGGATATGGTGGGGAGATAAAAAGAAAAATGTACTGAGCTAAGCTATAATTATTTATTCTACATTTCTTTAATAGCATGCTTAAATATAAAACACGAAGTCTACTGGCCAGCAAGATGCCCCAATTGTTCCACTTAGGCATTTTCTGCCTCTGGTAAGGTTATAACCAGCCCTGAGGTGACTGGAAAATCCAAAGGAATTTATTATAGATAGTATCAAAAATTGTTTTAGAACTCATAATCCAAGACATGGCTCTTTTTGGAAAAAGAAAATAAAAACCCCAAAACACCCTAAACCGTTCCTCTTCTAGACACTAGACTTTTGCCTGGCTCTCATGAAGGTTTTCTGATATAGTGCCTGCAAAATCAGTTAATAAAAACCCCTCCAGATCATAATAGTCTGACTGGAAATCGATCCTGGGGATGACGGCATTTTGTTCCATCCTGTGTGGTCACCGTGAATTAGGGGCTGACCTGAAGCAGCCAGGAACAAGATTATAGTAGAAAAACTGAGATACAAAGAAGTCACATGAACAGGCTAATCTGGTTTCTCCACTCCTTACCCGATACTCTAATCAACAGACCACTAGATCTGGTCTTGCTGTGAATCGCTGACTTACCCACGGCTCCCAGCGAAACCAGAACATTCTCTCGGGGGCCAATGGTCTTGTCATAAGGGCGAAAGCCATAGAGGTGGGCAGCACTGTTGACCAACCAGGTGGCATTGAGGACGACAGCGTAACGCAGGAAAGTGGCAACAAATAAGCTGTTTTCAAAAGTTTCACCCCAGAAATACCATGGGACAAGGGTGGGCAGGATGAAGCATATCAACAGGATGGCAGGTTTGTAGTACCTACATGGAGACAACACACCGAGTTAACAGAGAGAAGATGCTTAAACATACCTGAGTTTCCCACAGTCTCTTTCCTCCTACAAAAGTACAGCGTGGTAGAAGCAGGGCAAGAAAGGATGGGTGCAAGTCTTTAGATGATGTCACGAGGAAGAGTTAAATGACTTTCTAGGATTACACCTGTAGGAACTGATAGAGCAAGGATTGGAATGCGTCTCTCTGGACTCTAAACCATTTTAAATCACAGCATAATGCCATATTGGAAAAATAGGTGAGGTCTAAATGAAACAACTAGTAAACTGAGTTCTATTTCCTAGGCCAGCTAGATCTCCGTTCTGCCTCAGGCCTCCTTTCTCTTGCCCATCAGTGCTCTTCTACAGCTGATGTTTAAGGTCACCTCTCCCATTTCCTGCTTGCTACTCTGTAACGCTTCTTCCTCAGAGAGGCTCACTAAGAATCCTCCACTCCTTACAGATCCCTGTCTCTCTGGAGGGCCTGTAAAACTGTGCTCTCGAGTAGAGCAAGCCATGACATTCAAAAGGAGTGGATTTTCTGTTTCCCTTCAGCAGTCAAACTGTTTATATCCCAAACATTCAACCCCTTTCTGGTCCTCAGAGAGACATTTCTTAAGCACATCTTCAACTCTGTCACCTCTCTGCTAAAACAAACAAAAAACCAAACCAGCCCTACAGATGATTTCCTAGGACCTGTTGAATGAAATCTTGAGTTTGCTGCCATTATTGTTTTTAAATCCTACAAGAATGGCACCAGCCTCTTTCCAGTCTTCTTTCTCACCACACCCCATACTTTAAGCAAAGGACTGTCACTGGAACATACTTGGTGCTATAGCACATTCTGTTCCTTCTTTTTGCATTGTGTCCCCAACTGAAAATAAAAGCCCCACCACCCTTCACTCATAAATCTTCCCTCACTGTAATGTCCCTCCTATTTGTGCCACTCACAGTATATAATATATTCTGCCTTGTATCAAGTTTATCAAGTACTTGGTTTATTCCCTTATCCATCAAACTCTTGGAGGGTAAAGGTTACACCATATTCATTTTATATCCATGCATGTTCTCAGTCAACAATCTTTTGTAGAATGTAATTGATTTAATTGACTCAATGGTAAAGAAAGAGAGCAATAGTCAGTCTATGGCTGTGCCTCTGTGGAATATGATAAGTTGGAATTTTCCAGTTATGATTTTGTACAGCGTAAACACAGCGAAAGTCTCAGCTTCTGTTTATTAAGTCCTACAAGGAAAATGCGCCACCTCCCATCCCCATGACGGGTATTCAAAGCCATTTCCCCAGTTTCATTTGCACTTCACTCACTTCCTCTGGAACATCACCAGCTTCTCAGCTTTTAGGTCAGACAAGTCCAGCAGAGCGCCCTTCTCTTTGACAGCTGGGTGTTTGCGCACAAGCAGCCAACCCACATGAGAGAAGAAAAAGCCACGTTGAGAATTGTGAGGGTCAGCATCAGTTTCGGAAAACTTGTGATGGACACGGTGGTCACGGGCCCATTCAAAAACATCATTCTGGAAAGACAGAGGAGAGATATACTCTTGGGAGAAATCCCACAACTTTCAGTCCACCTCTCCAAATACATGGAAGTCTGAAGGCCAATGAAGTTGTCTCCACTTTTCCCCTACTTGCTACCGAAAGGGACAAACAACTTAAAATCTCAGGACTACATGAATTGGACTGGTGGATTCTTGGTTATAGAGTGGGAAGACTGGATATAAGTCCAGGGAGCTCCATTCTGATGTTCTTTGGAAGAGATTGCCCATACTACACATTGACAAGACCAGGCATCTTAAATCAAGCAGATTTCACAACACACTTCCACATGACCTATGGGTTTCTTTGGGACTCTTTTTCTTTCTTAAAGAATGGGCCAATCCCTCCCATCCCTTTGCCCTTCAAAGAGACTATGAAGAACCTTTAAGGTATGAGTGCCACATCAGAGATATTATGCAACTGTCGTATGCCCTGGTATACGGGATGGTGAAGGAGACAGATTTGGTTTCCATGTCATTTCTTGCTCCAAAGCTAAGCCCCTCCCACCACCTGGCTTCAGTTGGCCCATAGTTACCTCTTAAAAGCATCTTATGAACATCCTCTTTCCCCAATTCCCTTCATTCTATCTCTGCTCTAAAACTTACTGCCTAAAACAACAACAACAACAACAAAACCAACACTTAACTAACTCAGCCAGCCTAGCGGCCCAAGTTACAATCCAAATAGGTCATCTACCTCCACAGTGACTCAATTTGCTCATCTGTAAAATGAGGATGATGCTAATAGTATCTGCCTCCTACGACTGTTGTAAGGATTTAAAGAGATAATCTATGCCAAGTGCTTAAAGCAATACCATGCACATAGTGCTAGGAGAGTGTTCACTTTGTCTGCCAAGGGAGCCAGGGCAAAGAAAACTGAGCTCGGTCCCCTGGCTTTGCCCTATATAACCTTTTGTGAAGGACATGAGCCAGAATATGGGATAAAACAGGGACTTCTTGTTGATTGCCTTCGAGTCAACTCTATAAGCAAAAGGCCTTAAGCCCCTCCTACAACTATTGACATTTGTCAAAATTCATAGAGTTTCTGGAGGTATGTTATTTAGGAAGTGGATGCCACTCCTGCTTCTAACACAGGGACTAGACGGTACAAAAGAATCCCATGTATATACTGAGGATCCTTTCTGTTTATATCATGTTTTTGCTTCTCATGCTTTATGGATTTAAGAACTGAGCTTACCCATTAAATGACTACGAGGAGAGAGGAGGGGAAAGCAAAATGGATTTTGTTCCCTTCTAGGTGCCAACCCCTCAGTTCTACCATAAAGATCAATGATAGTGTGGAGGGGAAAAAAGAAAAAAAAAGAGCTGAGGCAAGCAGGCTTCTTACCTGGAACGCCATAGTGTTAGCAATGATTAAGAAGAACCGCAGGGGAAGCCTAGCTTTGTAAGATCGATGACTCCACAGGCGATGAGCTCCTGCTGTTATGCCCAAGGCACTTATCACATAGTAGCAAAATGCTGCCAGGAGAAGACAGTGGAGGAGTCACTAACTCATGTGAGTCCATCCAGGAAACCCCATTCCAGTACCCACATATATCAGATTCTGCATCTTTAGGCTTTAGGTGAGAGCTTGCTTCAGTTTGAATTCTAGGGATATCTTGGTCTTTAAGATTATACCACTTCAGGTAAATCATCACCCTCCCAATCTAGGAATTGAAATAAGTAGCTCAGCCCCTAGAAAATGGAGCTCTCACCTCATAGCCATTTGTCATTCTGAGTCTGGTGGGACACTATCCTCTTACCTACCTCCTTTGATCTTCTACTAAGGAAGACAGCCTGCACATAAGCCATGTTTTCACCGTGTCTACCCAGAATCTTCATATTCTCTACCTCATTAGCTACCTTGAATGGGGTAGGAGGTATTAACATCCCTAACTTTGCAGTTGGAGAAGCAGGCACTCTGAGGTTAGATGTCTATCTACAGATATATGGCTAGTGAGAAATGGAGCCATGGTTTGAAATTAGTTTTTCTGTCAGCAAATAGTTTATGTACCAACACCTCCCAAGATGTGCACTGTTCCTGCTTCTCTCCTTTGTAACATCTTGCTGTAGCCCATACTTCCTTGCTGTAGCCCATACTTCCTTTGAGCAAGGCTCACCCAGGATGTGTGCAAAGCTGTCAGTGGGGAACCACACATTATCCAGTCCCACCTTCTAGGAGGCTCAGGGGGTAATCTCTAACTGGGAAATTCCTTGCTGGGTATATCTTTCTTCCCTCCTTTAGTGGCTCTAGAAGGCAGGGTTTGAGACCTTGGCAGATTAATAGCAGGGTCTATTGACAATGTTTCATTCCTAGGGAAACAGCTAGAAAACAATGGGCCCTCAGTGGCCACAGAATTTAGTTGCAGTTGGTGACACTAAACATTGTAACAAATTGTCCTGTGTTTTTCTCTGGCATTAGATTTTAGCTTCCCGGACTACCCAGTTTTCTCCCCTACCCTCTGTCCCATCATGCTCCTCCTACAGGATCCTTGGGAGAGTCATAGAGCCAGTCTATCCTACAGAAATCTATTCGTACTTCTTGAGCTGGAATTAGGGCCCTAAATAATCTCTTGTCCTCAAGCCAGACAGTGATTATCTTTCCAGTTACACAAGTATATGCACCTGGACCTGGGAAAACAACTGAGCCACAGCCCTGCCAATGACCAAGGAGGTCAAAAATTGACTTTGGCAATGGAGATGGAAGCACTCAGAAGGCAGGTAAGATTCCAGTGCTAGCAAGAGGAGTGGGGGAAGAACCCAAGTACTGTAGTGACTTTTTCTATTGACACCTCTGTGCCTGTCTGAAAACCAAGTTCATTGCCAGAGGTGATTCCATCTCAGAGCAACCCTACAAAACAGAGTAGAATTGCTCCCATAGAGTTTCCAAGATCATAAATCTTTGTAGGAACAGATTGCAACCCTTCAGTCCCACAGAATAACTGTTAGGTTTGAGCTACCAATCTTTTGCCTAGCAGCCAAACACTTAACCACTGTGCCTCGGGGCTCCTCTGCAAATCAAATAAACTAGCAAGCAAAAAAATACCCCCTCAAACCTCACTGCTACAGTGACTTTTCAGAGGCTGTAAATGACAGCTTTCTCCTCAGAGCTGCTGGTTGATTCCAATCACCTGCCTTTGGTTGATGGTACAGTTCCCTCCCTACCTCCCAGGCCCCCAGAGCTCCCTGCCTATCAAATAGAGGGACTTACAATTGCCTAAAGATCTAGTTTGTCTCACAGTAACACTTAAGCAATATCTAATGAGGTTGGTCCTAAGAAAAAGATTTAGCTGCTTGGCCCTTAGGGTTGCCCCATGTGTCTCTTTAGCCCCCTACTTTGAGGTCCTCTGGGAAGCCCCAGACGCCCACAGGCACTCAGATAAAGAAGACAAAGAAAATCAAGCCCCTCTACACTATGAGGAATGGGAAGAGAAGAAGAAATCTCTCATCCATTCCCCACCCTTCTTGATCCTCAAATAGGCAAGTTCTGGGATCCCCATTATAAGACAGTCATGTAATCAGTTAAGTCACCTACCAAAGGGCCCCAGGAGGGGAGGAAAAGCCTCACTGTGGCCCAATTCTACTCCTTGAACTTGCTTTGCCCTGAGGATGTAGGGAGATGTCACCATCCAGTCTGTGTGTGCCACATCCCTCTATCCAAAGGCACAGCACACACCCATAGGTGGGGCGTCAAAAAGGCATCAGGGAAAGGCCCTGCTTTGGGTTAGCACTCTGCTCCCTGTTCTAATGGCCCAGCAGAGTAAGGGTGAAGCAGAGGCAGCCTAGCCACACTGAGATGCGTACACAGAGGAGTTGACAAGTTTTTCCGGAGAGCCCTTATTCCTGCTTGGTGATTCCCCAGAGAGCCTAAAGAACTATGCCCCTTCCCCTCATAAATCAAGAGTCCTTCCCACTCTCTTCAGATGAACTCATTACCTAACGCTGGTCTGCTCATATTCAGCAGTGACACCTTTGTAACTTAATGAATACTACCTTCCTAATCTCAAAGAAGTACTGTTGGCCCATTTTGCACCTGGGAAAATTGAGGTTTTAGGGATCTGGGGAGGATCTTCCAAGATGCCTTTCCCTTCACCTTCTGTGACACCTGGACAGTATCAACAACCAGCTCCTATTACCTTTAGAAGACCCAGAGACCTGTGGGCTAAGGAGCTAAAACTCGGCTTACTGGTCCTTCTCTGTCACCACCCTCTCAAGAATGTAGCTGCCAGCAAGCATCCCACACCCATGATAGCTCTGGATACCTAAAGCTTGTTTTCTGAAGGGCACTCAGGCTCAATGCTCTGTAGAAAGAAGTAACAATTTGGGACTGCTGTATCCCTGAAAGTGCCTGCTCTCTCCGTCCCAACTCAGGCTACTGATGGCTGGAGAGATGTCCGCAAAGCACGTGTGCACACCTAGGAAGCAGGGCCCCAGGTTCTTCCACACTGCTGTGCCCTGAAAGAGGGGAGTTGAGGGCAGGTCAGGGACACACCAGGAACTTTTTTAACCTTTCCTTGTAGTAGCCTCAGGGTTTCATGTTCCGATCTGGCCTAGATGCCTGTGGCAGTTAGGGAGAGCAGAGCCAGGGAGGACTGGAAGGAAAATGTACAGGATCCTTGGCAGTTCACAGCATCAAGAAAGAAGGGCTGGAGCAGGTGGGATGAGGAGTCGATATGAAACATTTCCTTTAACTTTATTCCATGAAGCCCTGGGAGTGGTCCCAGGTGCTCATGTGTCTGAAGTGGGGGCCTTGTAGCTAGCAAGGCTGAGACAATTACAAATGGACTCCAAGTAAAGGACTCCTTTTGAGACAAGCTGCCTCTCTGGCATAGGTCTATTCAGTTTCAAAGCGACCATGTGGTCTCAAGGCCCATGTCCAAAGACCCCCAGAATTGACAACTCTTGCATCTTTATCCTTCCTTTCACCCCCTAAACCTGGAAGAGTCCCAGCCCACCTAGCATCTCAGGACACCAAACAGAAATCGCCGCAAAAAAAAAAGCCCCACAAGACAAACGCGTATAAGATTTTTGAGGAAGAGAAAACTGGGATACTGGATCAGGAGCAGGAGGAGGGCAGAGCAGCTACTTACCCCAGAGGCAGGTGTAGAACCTGCAGGAGGGAATCAGCGTGATTCCATACAAGGCTCCCAAATGAAGCAAAGCCATAAGAATGATGTTTCTCCAGACATACACAGTCTTGGGTCTCGGCCCCTCATCCTTGTAGCTCGGGTCATAAATATCATCTTTTAACTCAGGGCGGATGTCTTCATCCCAGTGGTGCAGCGTCTTCTCCAACTTGCCTCCCCCATTCTGCAGGATCCTGGGGGCAGGCGCCGTGATGGTGGTGGTGGTGGTATAGGAGCTCGACATCTGGAAAGGAAAGGACGCAGGGTCAGGACGGAGAGAATCAGGAGCCCAACACGTGGACTCAGCAGAGGCCACTTCATTCTCGAAGCCAGGAAGGGGGGATGGGCGGAGCGCCCGCATAGACCTGGGCCTCATTCCCCAGGTGAATCGAGAATGGGGTCTGCCCGGGGTTCGAAGAGAGGAAAATTACCAGGAAAGGTGCCGATCGACTAAGGGGTGAAACTTGGTGGTGAAAGGGCAGGAGGGGAAGAGTAAAAGATCCCCCCTCTTAGACATACACAAAGGAGCCCCCGCAGACATTCATAAAGGTACTGTCGCAACCGGATCGTTCTTCATTTTCAAGCTTAAAGGGGAAAAGTTGGAGAATCCAAGGCCCCTAGTTACAGTCCACATCCCCAAGAAACGGAGCACAATTTGATTCGCGAAAGGTGGGTAAGTCCTCCCGAAACTCTCAACTCTCTCTCTTCAATCCGCCCCTAGAAGTGCCAGCGGCGCCGGCGCACCCTCGGGCTGGGGGCCCTGGCTTGGAAGCTTACCTCCTCCTGCAGCAAGTGGGCCGGCATCTCGACTCTCGGATGATGGAATCACTTTTCAGATACGGTGGAGCTGAGTTCGCTGCAGAGGGAGGACTCGGGCTCCCGCTTCCACGCGGCGGTGTGAGGCTCTGCGCTTCCGAGCCTTCCCTGCGCTCGCTTGGTGCGAGGGATCAGTGTGGCGATCGGATCGAGGCTGGGGATTTAAAGGCTACAGCTGGCAGAGGGTGACGGTGTCCCGTATTTCCTCAGACCCCTTTTATTCGCTGCCAACAAGGGGCAAAGTGCACAGGGCCGGCTGGCCGGGGCTGCCCCGCGTGGAAGTGCAGGAGAGCTGGCGAGGGGAGGAGACAGAAGGGCGAGGCGTGCAGGGGGCCGGGGCCGGGTCACCGGGATGCTGCACACACCCGCGCCGCCGCCGCTGGGGAAATGCTAATGATGCCTCTGTAAACTCTGGCGCGTCATTGGCCGAAGGGAATTTGGTGCCACCTCGTCCCGCCATTGCCATTGGCTCGGCGCAATCTGCTGTTCCCTCTGCCGCGCTCTCCGCGCTCCCCCTCCCCTCTCTTTCTCCTTTCCCTCTCTCTCTCCGGCCGCTGGGCCTCTGCCCGGCACCCCGCGGCCGCGGAAACGCTGGGGGGCTTGCTTTCTGGAAGGGGGGAGAAGGCCCAGCCGGGGGTCGTGGGGGTGGACACAGGCACAGGACGGGCCACCGAGTACTGCGCGAGTGGGTGGGCGCTGCGGAAGTTTCACTGCAAAGAGAGGGGGAGCCTCCGGATTCCAGCCTCTCTTCCCATTTCCAGGGACGCACAGGAGGGGAAATGTGGCTTCAAGCCCCGGGTGTGGAGTCGAGGGGGCTCTTGAAGCCACGCCCCCTCTCTCCGGAGGGGCTGCGTCGCGGCCGAACAATGGCTCTGCCCCCTCCCTCCTGCTACTCACTCAGGCTGAGTAAAGACAGCACTCTACTCTGTGGGTCTCTCTGACCCAGACCTGCACTCAGACCCACCTACAGGTATAACCTGCACTTCTGCCCTGGGTTCGATTCCTGGGCACCTCAGCAGGGGACGCTCTCCTTCAGGCACCAGTGGGTAGTGCTACCCTTATGATCACTTCTCCAGAGTATGGGTGGGATGTGTTGGAAATTCTTTAGATAGTTTCTTTTTAACGTGCTACCTTCGGAAAGACTTACAGTTTAGGACTCTTTAACAGACATTGGAGCCCTGGTGATGTAGTTTGAAACATCTGAGGCTGTAAAGTTAGCAGTTCGAATCCACCAGCTGTGCCAGGGGAGGAAAAATAACAGTCTCCTGCTATAAAGATTGTATGCAGCCTCGGAAACCCGTTGGAGGGCCGTCCTGAGTCGTGCTCGACTTGTAAGCAGAGGGTTTGAACAATCAGAGAGGCGCTGCCTGTGGATTTACATCCGAAATGTCTGTGGATTATGTCACCAGAGCTCCCTTCCGGCATCGTTGTTGTTTGCCAGGTGCCATTATGTTGACTTAGACTCCTAGTAACCCTATGAAGACACCTGAATTTTGTCCTGTCCTGCATATTCACGATCTCTTTCATAGGAAATTAGGGCGCTAATAGTGGTAGAGTTGGTGGAGAGTTGGGTTGCGTAATCCGAAGGCTGCTAGAGTCAGGCTGTTCAAATCCACTTGTGGCTCCTTGAGAAGAAAGATGGGCAGTTTCCCCTCTTTGCTATTTACAGCCTCTAAAACCAGACAGAGGGTCCAGTGAGCGAGCGAACAAGCATTGAGTTGTTAATGGCCCGGGAGTTGGCTTTGACTCTTACAACCCCGCATGCACAACAGAAGGAAATTGCCCAGTCCAGTTCTGATCACTGGTATGCCCCAGTCCATTGTTATCCACACTGGGTAATTTGAATGCTTTTCAATTTGGGGCTCTTGTCTGCCAACACGATATCAGATAGTATTCTGTTGTGATTCATGGGCTAATTTTTGCATGCAGATTGCTAGGTCTTCCTAGTTTGCTTTTATTTAAAAGCTCTATTGAAACTTGTCCACCAAGGGTGGCTCTGCTGGCTGTTTGTAGCAGTAATGGCATAGCCCCCAGCACCATCAAACTCAAACGGCTTGCTATTAATTCAGCTGACCATGCAGTGATTTCTGAAGGTGTAAGTCACATGGGAAAAGATGGTTCATCTTTCTTCTTCAGGGCTGCTGGCGGATTTGAACCATGCCAAAGGCTCTGCCTTTGGGTTAGCATTGCAGCTATGAACTATGCCATCAAAACTCCCTTCCAGGGGAGCTCTGGTGGCCTAGTGGCAAGGAACTGCAACTACAATCCCAGAGGCGCACGGTTCGAATCCACCAGATGCTCTGCCGGGGAAGGAGGGACAATCTCCTCCTGTACCAGTCAGATCTGATTTGACGGTACACACACACACACACACACACACACACACACACACACACAACTCCCTTCCAGCATCACTGCTGCTGTTTGCATAGGTGCCATCAAGGTGGCCCTAGAAAGAGATCTGAATTTTGTCCTATCCTCCGTCATCTTCACGATTTCTGGCATGCTCAAGCCCCTGTGGTAGACACTGTGTCAGGCCATCTCATTGAGGGTTTTCCTCTTTTTTGCCACCCCTCTGCCTTTCCCAGCGTGCTATCTCTAAGGACTGGTTCCTCCTGAAAATATGCCGAAAGTAAGAGAAGATGAGGTTTCACCATCCTTGCCTTTTAAGGAGCATACTGCTGCACTTCCTTCAAGATAGATCTCTTGGTTCTTTGGGCAGTCCATATGTATTCAATACTCTTTTCCGGCACCACAATTCAAAGACAGTGATTGTTTTTTGGGCTTCCTTGTTCATTGTACAACTTTCAGTTACATAGGAAGCAGTTGAAATTACCAAGGTTTGGGGCAGGCACATCTTAGTCTTTAAACTGACATCCTTGCTCATTAGAACTTTTGTGAGGTCCTTGACAGCACAATTCCCCAATGCAACATATCTTTTAATATCTTGACTGTTGCCACCAACGGTGTTGATTTTGGATCCAAGTAAAATGAAATCATTGACAACTTTAATCTTTTAAATGTCATGAAGCTGCCTATTGGTGCAGTGGTGAGGATTTTTATTTTCTTGGTGTTGAGGTTTGACCTACACTGAAGGCTGTTGTCTTTGAACAGTTAAGTGCTTCAAGTCTTCTTTCCTTCCTACAAGTAAGGTTATGTCATCTGCACCATGCTGATGGTTAATGAATCTTAGGCCCAATAGCAGCAGCAACAACAACAATCCGCATCGTAGTAACACACAAGTCATCACAATGTGGCAAACTGACAAATGGTGAATTTAATTATTTTTTTTCAATATAACATAGTATTCTATTGTTTTCTTTTTCTATAATTATATTTTATT